AATTTGGATCGTCCCGGTGCACACGTATGCTGCAGAAGATCATCACAGAATAATAGGGGAATGACAAACGTTGATTTGCGTGTTATAAGAGGTAAATAATTTGTTTATCGACATACTTAAATATTTCTCATGGTTAGCTCTGTGAATATTTTTATAAGCATGACTAACAAATGTATGTCTGTCTGTCTGAACTGTCTCTTCATCCATTCGTGTGCAGACGTTATGATATAAACGTATGTGTCTATATATAGACTTCACTCACCTACAGGAGAGAAGGAGGATTTGTGAAAATAAAGTAAAATTTCTTAAATTAAACGTATGAAGGAGTAAGCAGTTAGAGGGCTGCTAATTAACAGCGCTTCTTCTGTTCTTGATAACAGAAAGCTCAAAAATCTCTGAGATTTTACTACCACTTGATTGAAATTATGTCATAACATATTCACGCTTACATAGCGTGTTTTGCTTGCAACGCTTTCATGCATCTTTGGGGAAACATTTTTGTTTCGCTTTTAACATACATTTATAGTGTTTTGCGCTTTCCGTAGAGTGCAGATCCTACGACAGTCTACCAAGTGTACAAGGTCCAATACGCGAAAGATGTAAGTACATATCCAACTTTATTGGTCGCGCAAAAGCGGAACCCAAAGAATTCCCTTTGACGGCATTAGTATATAACGAAAATCCTAAAGGAGTTGCTAATAAACTTTGCGGTGGTGTTTTAATTAGCAAAAACTATGTTTTAACATCCGCTTACTGTTTTCTCTACGACGGGTGAGTTCAACATACGATGAATTTATTGAAAGTTCTCACATAACAATCCACTTTCTTTTCATTTCATAGCTATCGTCCTAACTGGGTGCGTGTAGGAGAATTAGATTTTGGTACTACTGAGGAAGATGCTTCACCACAACTCATTGAAATCAAAAATTTTATACCTCATCATCAGTTTTATGCTACTGAACTGACTATCTACCATGATATTGGTTTGGTTGAATTGACATTAGAGGCTCTCTTTGACGATTACGCACGTCCTGCCTGTCTATCCCTAGTAGATGCCAATAATTATGAAGAATTCCTGTCTGCCGGTTGGGATTATGCTGTACCAGGACATTCAACCCATTTACATAAAACGAAACTGAACCGTCTCGATGATGACAAATGTTATGAAAAAGTCAGACGCGAGCACTTGGAAAAAGGGATCAACAATCGTACACATATGTGTGCAATTCCTTCTGCTGGCAATGTTAGTACTTGTGCTGGAAATGGCGGTACTCCACTTTTTGTTAACCATCCCGAGTTTCCCTGTCAATTCCTCGTAGTGGGCATTTTGTCGATCGGTCGACGTAAATGCGGAGATAAGGATGATCCAATTATTTACACCAGAGTCAAACCGTATATCGATTGGATACAACGTATCGTTTGGAATTGAATTAAAAAGGAATTTTTTTTTTTGATAAATTACTTACACATAAATAATATCGTTTGTATTTTTCTAAGTGGATGCATTTGTATATATATATGGAACACTTTGCCGATAAATTTTCATTGTTTGTCTTTGAAATTTCGTTAAAGAGAAAGTGCGACTTACTTTAGTATCTTCGGCATTAAGACGTAAATTGACGAAAATTTTTCTTTTAAAAACTATACATAGGATACAAGGAATCACGAAACACTTGCATAGAATTTTATAAGTGTTACGTATGTACGAAAACGAGAATGCTCTTCTCCTCTCAAAATGAACGCGTGATTAGATTTAAGCCACGCAAGTGGTCAAGTGGTGGTCAAATCTTCTAGACATTTTAGTTGATCGACTGCTCCTAGTGTGAGTAGCCATATTTCTCATACCATAATTATTAACCGTAAAGAAGTCCTTATTTATCGGGTATTGCTTTAAATTCGCTTTCAGTATAAAAGGCTCGAGAGGTTGAAGCGACCCGCTGCTTGATAACCGATTTAAGGACACATACGTAAATAATTCTCGCATGCTCCAGATCACACTTGTTACAATTAAATCTCTGAGAATATTTAAGTGAAGAACAACGTGACACTTGATAAACTAATTCATAATCGTGCCTAAGTAACTAAGATCATAATCAGTGAACAACGACATGACACAAAAGAGGGCATAAGAGGGCATTGTTAAGTATATTGAATGTCTAGTAGTTTTCGCATGTATCGGCCCGACTCCAGCAGGAGCTTAAAGCTACGAGAAGTGTTGTTTGTATAAAAATTTTTGACTTGCGTGATTTCTTTAAAAGATCTTGTTAGTTCAAAAGAAAACACAAACGAATCGTTTCTGGAAAAAGTTCCTTTGTCAGTTGAAAAATTTATCTTAATTAATTTGTGCATAAACAATAGCACCATCGTCCACATTGTTCGCGGATCACTCTGTTGAAGAAGGAAACTTTAATCAACTCTTATCGCAGACACTTACTATTTCGAGATACAAAGTGTATAGGGAACATGGCAAAGCGTTTCCAAGAACAAACATATAACTGTGCTAAAGAATTCTTTGCAAATGATATCACATATCGCCGCTTACGCTTGTCTCATAGAGACCAACTCCATCTTCACATCACTAAAACCAATCAACCTTGATAAGATTTTAAAAATTGCAAACGAAAAAGCATTAAAGTTCCATCACGCGCAGGTAACATTATAATATAATATTACATTGAAGTGTGCATGAAGAAAGTAAATTTTCCCATCACAAAAATGGGCATTCATCGCGGGAAAGCACGATATAATTATCTAATTTTTTACTTTAATTGTATTTAATAGCGTTCTCTCTACCTCTCTTTCTGCTCACTACCAAAATCACTCACACCCAAACATAAACGAGAAGAAATAATTATTTTCTATATCTTCTTTTCTTACTCTTCTTTTTATACCCAACCACTCTAAGATGAGGGTACTACTCATTTTGTTTTCTTTCCACCCAGAAGCAAGCTCCAGAGACCCTATAAAGTATGTATACATATCCTTGATCTGCGTGTAATTCTGAGTTGATTTAGCCATGTTCGCCCGTTTGTGTACTATGTGTTTTTGGCACTCTCTTAGCCGGAAAAATGAAGATATCGGCTTCAAATTTAGTAGAGACATTGGAAGTTTCTGCATGCCGGTTGGTATAGAAAATGGGTCAAATTGATTAGAGCAGAAGCGCGCAGTGGAGCGTAAACTGAACCCAACTCCGTTTTTTTTTT